TAGCTCTTCTTCATCATATGAATTATTTTCAAAACTAATTGCAGTTGTTTCAGCTATTTTTTTTCATTTCATTTGTGTAGTCAGATGAGCATGAAACGATTGGTATCTAAAATTGAGAATAAATTGCCTTTCGACTTATCTGATTATTATTTACTTTTTTTTGGATTTTTCTTTCTGACATTTTTGTCATTGAATATTCTTTCAATTTTCTTCCTGAATTTTCATTCGAATATTTGTTCTTCATTTGCAACACTTCATCGTTTACCAAATTTTGTCGTTCTCGTTTAAATTTGGAAATTAATGATTCACGCCAAGAATTCTGTAATAAAGAATGTTCATAGTTTTGTAATAAATATTGATGATGTTCACTTACCATTTTTTTTGTATCATGTTCCACACCTAAATGATTTAATAGACCATTAACAATAGTGCTATATTGTGTTTTTGTTGGATAACTATAAAAAAAAATAAGCACATATATATGATTAAGCTATTCATAAAGTTATCCATTGTAAAACGCTTCAGCATTTTTAATTAGCTTCGATCGATTCAGCGTCATGGGAACCTGCGTCTTTTGTACTAGTATAATTTCTTTTGCTCCTTTTACAATCGTTCTCACATGACGATGAAATTAATTTAGTACATGGGAGAATAAGCTTCAATAAAAGATAAGAAAATTATACTTACATCAAATTATAATTTGTTTTTAACTCGTAAAATATTGCATCGATCACAATAGAACTGAAATTGCATAATTTTTCAAAATTTTCCATTTCCTTGTTATTAATTGCATGTTTGACTCGATCAGGTAAATCAGGTACTACATATGGATCTGGTAATAATTTTACAGATATTGAAGAATTTGTTGAGATTGGTGGTGTAACAGCTGTTAAATCTGCTGACAACTGAACGACATCATTATTTTCACTTGTTTCTTGTACAATATCATTGATAACGTTTGCTGTTGTTTCATGTGTTGTCGATGATGATGTTGGACTTTCTTTTATAGTCTTTGTCAAAAATAATTTTTCTCGTTCTTTTAAAAACAGTAACTGATTCTTGTACGACAATTTAAATGGTTTCAGAAGGTCGAAGTTGTTCATATAAAACAGTGTTTCACCATCGATTTGTTCGTCTGAAATATATTTAAAAGATAGTTAAAGAATAGTTTTTAAATGAAAGTTTTTCAAAAGTAATAGAGCTACATGATAAAACATCATGAAA